CACGGCGCGGCGCTCGTAAAGCTTTCAATTAAAATTAATAAAAATTTACGCGAATTAAATAAACACAGGGCAGGTGGGCGTGGCCGCTTGAAGCGCACAATTCGACTGACTTAAATGTATATACATATATAAATTTATTTCTATATATATATATATATATATGTACATATATATCTGTAGCTATTTACATAGCTTGGCTGAGCATATTAACATGAACAGCGACAGGCTTAAATAAATTGAATTGTTTGGGACAAAGTGGGCCCAGCCATTAAACAGCTACACACGCACACCTACACACACCTACACACACCAGCACACACACACCCATCCAGAGCTGTTGGCTGTGGGTCCTTGGCTTTGGCAGCAAGAAAAACAAAGCCAAGTTAAGCCAGGGCAATCGACGATGCACATAGAACAAAAAAAAAAGCAAAGCAAAAAAAAAATACAACAACAACAAAAACAGAAACCAAGAGAAGCAAAAATTCGCTAGGAACAAGAAGCAGCCAAAGCGAAGCTGGCAAACAAGTCAATAAAACAAAGAAAACCTAAAGAAAATAAAATAAAGCCAACAAGTAAACTGGATTAGCAACGACAAGCCGAACTCTAAATACCCTAGCGACAGCAGAGAGATTGATTTGAATTCATGCTAGATATACAGTAGAAGCCCGATAATTCAAAATGGCAAGTTTTTCGACTTACACAGAAATTCAAATTATCGAGAATTATTCAAGAACGAATTTCATTCAAGGGCATAGAATTTTTTCGATTTAACGTGATTTTCGATTTAGCGGGGCTCGAATTATCGAGACTCGACTGTATATAGATATACATTATTATATTGTATATAAAGTTCTTTCAACTGAGACTTTCATTTGAAATCGATATTTTTGGTTTTCTTAAAAAAAAAGTTTATATGATAGTAGTGTAATTTTAATGGACTGCTCTCTGCCCATCCCCTAGGCGTGTCAAGCGACAAGGCTTTGTCAAAATGATTAAAAACAGAGGTCAAAATCAAATTCAGAATGCTCTCACTATATATATGAAGTTGACTTTAAACTAATTAAATTTGTGTATTTTTTTTTTTTTTTTTAATTTATGTAAAGATAAAACCGAAGGTATAATAATTGATGGTTAGTTCATGACCATATTACAATTTATTATGAGTGATTGAAAATGGAGGCTTATATACACTATAAGGATGTCTAAATCTTTCAGACACACGCCTCATTGCGTTACACATTAAGTAACAAACCTAGAAGTCTACTTAGAATCACATCGAATTATAGCCAAGATTGATTGAAAATAAGATGTGCGGCTATAGAATACCCTATAGCATGGAGATGAAATCTTTTACCAAAAAAAAAAAAAAAGATCTTTCTTTGTCTCTGTAGTGCTGTAAAATAATATTTATAATACTTAAGTGTAAATATGATAATTTGTTATCCCTTTCGTTTATAGTTGTTTCACGATTTTAGTAAAGTTTTATCGATTAATATATGTATATATACATCGATTACATTTGTATATATCGAAATATTTGAATCGAAATACTATAAAACCCAATTGAAAATTTATAGACCTTAATTTTTTGGACTTTCCAAGTGTTGTAAAACAGTTGATGCAAGCCATTTCCTATTACATTCCAAACATTCCATACAATATGGATTGCTCTCAGTATTTGTGATGGCATTTAAACATATTTGGTCTTATAGATAAGGTGAGATCATTAAGAAATCAAGTTGATGAAACTACAAAAAGCTACGAGCAATACCCATAAAGCCGTTCTGAAATCAATTTCATTTCAATTTTAAAATAGATTCTTCTATTTTTTGGCTACGCAGAGTCGTTTGATAATGCTAGCCAAGAACTAAAGTCCTTGTAGTTTATAGACTGGAATGCTAGGACATTAGCGAAACTTTATGATACCCACACCGCCCATTTGATGTATGCGTATTTATAGGGTATATAAAACCGAAAGAAAAAAGAATGAAACGTAACGAAAACAGGCAAATAAAATGGCAAAGGAGAATGGAGCGGGAAGGACAACTGGCGAAGGACGACAGCACAGCAGGACAGCGGGACAGCAAGCCAAAGCCACATGACGAAGAGTCTGTGATTTTGTTTTAGCTGAAGGACCATGTTATTGTGTTTATGAAGCACTTTGCTGGCTTGACAAACACTCCGCACGACCGTTGCTCGACACTAATCAGTCGCTCGCTCTCAACTAGTGGGCATTAGTGATGTCCCATTCAGCTTGCGAACCTATAAAAATGTTTGTTATGAGGCCAACCACACACACAGGGACAGAGACAGGCAGAGATAGAGAACGATATTGAACATATATATATAAATATATACACATCCATTCGATTTACATTTAGACATTAAATTGATGTGCTCATAAATCGATGAATAAAGCAGCGAAGCATATGTGATATATATAAAAATATATATATATTATTATATAGAGATGGCTCTATTTCAATCTGTCAATCAGCCAATCACGCATATGCTCAGCTTTTTAGATTAATGGCTTATTGAGAGCGCAAATAAAAACTTGTTGCATTTATAATCCTTCAAAGGATTATATAAATAAATAAATATGCTGAATAATTTTCAATAAATTTATCTCGAAGGTAAACGACCCTAAGAGTAATTGCCCCAAATACGTGCATGTTTATCGCTAATAAATCACACAAGTTCAACTCTCTTAATACAATATACTAATCCTAATCCTATGCAGTCTTAAGTTATCGATAAAACATATATTTTATGTATATGTATACTATATACAAGTAAGTATTTGTTATGACGGTCAACATCAAATGTGTGTCATCTAACACATCTTAATATCTAAATTAGATATATCTTCCTGTTAATTGTATGCAGCCTCAAGTTATCGATAACATGCATTGCTTACATAACACTTATATCCTCCTACTCATTAAGTAATTGCTGCAATCAACTAGACAAATATGATTATATAGCTTAGCATCTATAGATAACAGCTATTAATCTACGTCACAATGTGTTTATCAATAAGCCATAATAACAGTATCAGTACCGTTATCGATAGCCCAGGTGTTTGCTAAAGGTCTACCAGTATTTACAGCTCTACAAACTTAACCGAATGCAATTTCCATTACACAACACTTGAAGAGGACTTTACAGGCAGAAATGCAACTGCATCGCCCTATAATCGTTATCGATCAATGTCAAAGGGCACACACACACATGTATACATGTGTATATGTATACAGCCGCACCTGCACAGCTTCATTACATTTGCTTGCTGTGCAGCGAGCCAAAGACGGCGCCATGTAACTGTCTATTGTTGCTGTTGTTGTTGCTGTAGTTGTAGTCATGTTGTCCTTTACAGCCGAAGAAGGGATACATTTGTAGGTTCTATTGATTTTTAATACGCGTCTTGCTGGCAAGCAAGCCATCGCGTCGACATTGGGCCGTTGGGCAAACCGGAGCCAACTACTTTGAACTTCGCCTGCTGTGGAAGCTGTCATGCAGCTCCTTCAGTAGCACTGCTTGCGCGCGTATGTGCGTGTGGGTGTATGCATGTGTGTGTGTGTGTGGGAGTGTATCTTTTAGTGCTTGTAAAAAAGTAATGTACAAACAAACAAACAAACGTGTCACAAACTTACTCACACACACACACACACTCTCTCGCACGGAAGACACAAGCAGTCGGGCTAGTCCTTTTCAGCATTGGCATTGCCCTGTGATAACTTAATGCCAAACGCATGCTTTTGCATATGAATGCGGCGTATGCGTTACTTCCTTCTTTGCAGCTATCGTAAAGTGGCAGCCGCCATAAACACGGAACAACAAGCTAAAGAAACGCAACAGAATTGAAAGTAAGCCAAACAGCACTCGGGTTGGCGCTGCTCGCAACTAAGCTGTGGGTGCACATGAGCTGCGCTCATATGTGTATGTGTTTGTTGAGTGAGTGCTAAGACGATCCCACTCGAACCCACTCTTTAGAATGGTGAATTTGTCTAGAGCTTACTTATTACGCAGCTAAGCTCTCTCTCTCTCTTTGTCAGCCTCCCTTTTAACGCTCTTGCACACATTATTTGGCTTTGCATATGCCACTATGCTGTTAATATTTAAGAGCTAATGTATAGTAACGGTAATTCTCAATTTGAACTGTCAGCTGTGCTCTGTGGGCGCACATGAGCTGCGCTCTTATTTATATTTGTTGAGTAAGTGCTAAATGAGATCCCAGCTCGCTCGTATGGTGAATTAGTGAGATTGTCTGGCGCTCACTTATTTAGCAGTCCTGCCACTCAATCTCACGCTCACCCTCCCTCGTTCGCTTTGCTTATGTCATAGTGCACGCGAAATTAAAACAGTTAGTTAATTCTAGCTGTAAATCTTGAGCTAAAAATAGCAGCACTACGAAGTCACACAGTGCGAAGCTCTACTCGCAATTAAGGAGAGTGTACATATACATTCATACATATACGTATGCATGTATGCATGTACATATGTATATATGCATGTTAGCGTCTCTCTATCTCTCACTCTCTTTGTCTCTCGACGCTAAGCTGATGGTGAGTTTGTTTAAAGCTAATGAAATTTACGAGATGCTAATTGAAAACGGAATTGTTGACTGCACAGCACACAATGTATTTGCACTGTTACCGTTGTTTAAATTTACATTATATTTAAGACAAATTGTTTACATTGTGCTTTCAAAAATTTGTGCAGACAATGCACAAAATTCAAATTAAGAATTTAATTATAATTGTGTATCCTTTGCAACTTAAGAGCAAATAGCAAACAGAACGCAAAGGTAAATAAGCTTGGCTTAATTTAATGAAGGCGGAAAAGAGAGCGCAACAATCAGCTGCACAGGCAAAGAAAACTTTGGTGGTTTCACTCATGTCACTGTCAGTCGATCAACTAGTGCGCTCTCTTCACTTGCCCTCGCTGTCACACACTCTCACTCCCTCCCCTCAACTCTTTGCTTTTGTTGTACTTACGATTTGAGTGAACGCTCAGCGGCCGCGTGAGCAGCGTCAGCAGCAGCAACATCAACATGACCGGCAGCAGTTGCATTGAGCGACGTTGTCGTTGCGCTGGCTTTTGCTGCGGCGACTGCGGCTGCGGCGGCAGCGACTGCGGCTGTTGCTGCTTCTCTTTGTGCTGTTGTCCCGCGCCGACATCCATTGGGCATTTGGCCGACTGAACGCTTGGCTGCAGCGACATTATTCTCACTGTCGCGTGGATCGTTAATCGTTTATCGTTCCGTTATCGTTGACTGGCTCTGGAAGTTGTTATTGTTGTTGTTATTCCTTCTGTAAGCACTCAAATAGTTGCAATCAAATTTAACATTATACGAAGTTGTTGTCGCTGTCGCTGACGCTGTTGCTGTTGTTTGTTTGATTGTTGTTGCGACACACTTTTTATAGCTCAGCAATTGGTAACATTGCAAGCACAATTTGTGCAGCACACTTTGCAGCGCCCGCAACTTTACGAGCCTGAATTTGAACTCTCGTTCGAACTTTAACTTGAACTTATTTAAAAAGTTTTCAACGTGCCAGAGCTACGTGAAACTCATTTTATGACCAAAATAACCACGGACAGCAGCCTCTCTATTTCACTATCTCACTCACTCACCAACTCTCTTCCCCTCTCTCTCTCTCTCTCTCTCGCTGTCTCTTTTTTTGGTAGGTGCATTTGGGCGTATGATGGACCCAAAAGTTGCAACTGAATGGCCATGTCGAGTGTAGCGATACATTTATCATGACTAAATTTTGCTAATCAAGTGCAGCCACACAAATACACTCACACACACACACATATATATACAATGGTGTGTGTTTACATTTATCTGTTATTGCCATGGCAATAGAATATGAGCTTGATTAAAATGAGTTTCAATTTATCGCTTCGCATTTGAACTGCGCATTTTGCATGCGCGACTGAAACGTAATTAATCAATGAGATTAAATACGTTAGGACTCACTGATTGATTGGTTGAAGACTTGTATACACTACAAACTATAGCTATATAATTGCAAGAAATAAACTAATTAGTAAAAGTTAGACTAAGATTTATTAATACTATATACTAAGATATACCTAAGAGTTACAATGACTGACTGAGGAACTGATTGGCTATGTAATTGACTGGCAGAACGAAGGATTGACTGAATGATTGGCTGTCGGATTTACTGACTGACTGTCTGACTAAGTGTTTTACTAGTTGATTGACTGGCTGATTGATTGATTGACTGAGTCATAGACTGAGTAAGTGAGTGACTGAATAATTGATTGACTTAATGATTGATTGACCGACGAATCACTTTATTAAGTCAATCAATCAGTTGGTTGATTGGCTGACTGACTAATTGATTAATTAATTATGTAAGCATATATATATTTTCATATATGTATGTATATGCATGTATATATGTATTTCTAGATTTTCACCCGTTAGAGTGGAATATAATTGGAAAAGGTTTTTAAGTTATATACAAAATTTTATGTATATGAATAGGAATATAAACTGCATGAATAATTGAATAAATGACTAATCTGTAATCACTATCCCTGATTAATGGATTGATTGAAGACCGATTCATAGCACAAGTTGTAGTCAAACGGTTTTCGAAACTATTTACATTTTGAATCATCAAAGCACAGTCGATTACAAATCGTTGAAAAATTGCAAGTGTACGTGGATAAAAGCGGTTTTTTTTTTTTCAGAGTTTAACAACTTTTTTATGGCAAATTTGCTGTAAAGCTTCACATTTAGTTACACTTGAACAAGTTTTGCTATTCCGCCACACAATTAGTTTGGTCTAAATGCCTACCTGCTCAATTCGATATAGGCCATTTATGGCTTAATGTAACTAAGTTTTTTTTTGCTGCTGCTTCTTCTTCGCCTGCTTTTCCGTTACTTTTAAACTGGTATACAGTGAACGAAATTGAAAGCATATTAAAATGCAATTTCTAACGCATTTAATTTTTTCTCTCACTCTCTCTCTCTCCCTTTCTCTTAGCAATTTTTTTCTCCCGCTACTTGGGCCAACTTTTGTTTTGGCCGGAGTGGCGAGGGCCGAAACGAAATACTTTCGAAAGTGCTTAAATTTGAGGCAAAACTTGGCAACTTTCTGTGCGTGCTGCTGAGAATGCAATTTCCATTTTGAAACAGGAAGATTTGCCAGCGAATGTGACAGATTCAGACATTGTGCAGTAATGCGGCTCAACCTTGCCAACGCCGTCTGCTGCTGGCCCGGCTTAAAAGGGACTTCAATTCAATTGCTCTTCTGCTCTGTGGTCGGTGCTTTATATGTATACATATATATCTTCATTCACTTCTCTTCTTTTCTTCTGCTTGTTTATATTTTTTTTGCAGCCACAAAAGTGGAAATTCTTTGGAAAGTATATACGTTCTTCATGTAATGAAGCTGCCGCAGCAGCAGCCATATAAATTAAGAGCCAAATCTGCTTAAGGAACACAGTGCCAAAAATTTAGATTATCCTCAGCTTCTTACTCTCTCTCTCTCTCTCTCTCTCTTTCTGTTTTTTTCTCGCTCGCTCTCTCTCTCTCTCTCTCTCTTTCCACAGATTTGAATATTCAAATAACTTTAAATAACTAAGTGAATTTAAGTTTGAAGTTAACTATGAGCAATAGCATGTCGTAATACCAAGTCTCTATACCCTCTCTTACTACATATATAAACTTTACGTATTGCTTATATTAAGTTCTTCATATATTCAAAAGCTTACGTATTACCTTCATAAATCTCTACCCAACTTATGGATTATGAAGTTTTGAAAAAAAAAAAACATGTGTTTAATGAATATAACCATTTACGTATGAAATGTTTTTACCCCATAAAAAGTTGGAATTTTTAGATATTACGTATACGCAGGCTGATTTACCTAGGCGAATTGTGTATTCAAAATATGCCGAAAGAAAAACTATGTACAAATATAATACTGATACTGATACAGAAATTTTCTATTATATGAGATTTGTTGATATATTGATAAAAAAAAATAATAAAAAAAAATAATAATAATAATAATAATAACAATAATACTGATAAGAATAATAATGATAATAAAAATAATAACAATAATATTAATAATAAAAATAATTATAATTATAATAATAATAATAATAATATTAATAACAATAAAAACAACAATTTGAAGCTCTAAGGAATTTTATATTTATGAATTCATCAAAAAGAAATTTTTGGAAAATAATTGAAAACTATTTCTACATAATCGAAATTTAGAAATGCAATAGAATCCGGCTATAACATACGGTTATTGCGACAAAAATTCTGGTCCGTCGGTCCGGCTATACCGACGGTCACTTGAGCATCGCTATAACCAGTCTCTACTGTAGTATATTTAAAAACGAATTTTAAAAGAAATTAATATGTAAAAGAAAAACAATAATTATTATTTTAAAAATTCAGTTATATTCCACTTAATAGATTTGGTTTAAATATTTCAAATATTTTAAATTGTTTGCAGCAATTGAATCAAGCTCACAAATTTTGCACAGTGTATGGAACACAATATGGTCTTGATTTTATGCAAAAGATAAATGTATACATATACATATATAACTTGTATTGATATCACGAATTGGCTGTAAATCATGAATTAAATGATTTTACGATGCAATTTGCAATTTGTTTTCCTTTTCGGTCTCGGACCATTTTGAAAAAGGTCAACGGATATTGGCGAGAATTTGTTTATGGCCAATGCGACTTGTCGGCAGCACCTGCGGCCATTTTATGCGGCGCCAAAAGAGATTGCCGAAGGTAACGGTAAACATGAATGGCAACAACAATGACTGCAACAACAACAACAACAGCAGCGGCAGCGAACTGCAGGCGACACGGAAATGCAACACTTTCCGTTTTCCTTTTCCGTTTGCAATTTTTGGCCCGTTATTTCTTTCAGCTATGCACTTTGCACACGAACAACAACCACAACAAAAATACCAAAAAAAAAATACAGCAACAACAACAACAAGCAGACACACAGAGTGCAAGGAAGATAAGGAAATAGTGTGTTCTTTTTTTGTGATTTCTTTTTTTTTTTTTTTTTTTTTTTTTTTTTTTTTTGCTTGTTTTTTTGTTTAGCCAACATCAACACAAACACAAACAAAGCGTTCGCCGGATTTATAATGGCAAAGTAAACAGCGCTCAATTCGCGCGCGACTCTTGTGCCTCTCCTTTTTACCGTTTTTATACATATACATTTCTTTTTTTTTTTACTTTTTACTTTTTTCACATTTACCGTTCAAGCAAATGCTTTTGCGCGCGCTTTTGAGAATAACGCGCCTGTGTCTTTTGAAAGTGCTTTGCTCCGCTTAGCGCTGCTTTGCTTAGCTCAGCTCAGCTCCGCTCTGCCGCTCGAAAGCTCAGTGTATGTTGTGCGCTCTACGCCTGCCGCACGTAGAATGCTGAACGAGATTGTTGCTGCCAGCGGCTTTTATACCAAGACGCCGTCGACTATGTCGGCTTGCTGGCTTCGGCTGCTACGCAACAAATCGTTTCGACTCGGCTCGCTTTAGCTGACGGCTGCCCGACACTTGTCTGTTGTTCTGCTGAGCGTTTAGCATATGTTCGTATTGGCAGCGACGCCGGCAGCGATGCTCTGGCAGCACTGACTGGTTGGCTGGCTGAGGCTGGCTGAGGCTGGCTGGCTCGCTGGCTGCCTGCTTGGTTGGTGGCCTGCATATTTGCTTTATGAATGTGTTTACCAGCAAACTTTTCCGCACAATGCTGGCTGCTGGGGTGTAAGCGAGCAAATGGGCGCCGGACGGCGCCTGGAGTGGGGTGAATTTTGTGATGCGATGCGATGCCGATGCCGTTGCTGATGAGGTGAGGTGAGGAGAGGTGAGAGGTGAGTAGAGGGCGGAGTGACAAAAAGCTGCTTGCTGCGTGCGAAAGTGCCAACACTCGCATTAATAACAACAAAAGCAACAACTACAACAAAAGCAGCAACAATAAGAAAAAGGCAGAAGAAGAAGAGGAGAAGACAACAGCAATTACAAATAACGGCAACAAGAACAATTGTAAGCCTGCAACAGCTCAATTAACTATCTGTCCGGCCGAACTCTGTCTGCATGTGCACGTGTGTTTGTACGTGTGTGTGTGCGCGTGTGTGTGTGTGTGTGTGTGTGCGTGTGTATGTGTGCGTAGCTGTCTTTTATACGCGTAATTACGATTATTCTGGTAATTACGGAAAATGCAATTGCAATTGCATATGTTGAATATTATTTAACCAATGTCAATTGTGCGTAACACCTGTACATATGTAAGGTTATATACTTGTGTGCGTGTCAGCTAAATGAAATAATTTATTTACAAAAAAAAAAAAATAAAATAAAAACGAATAAAAAACCATCAATGCAGCAATTAATTATGTAGCGTTAAGCGCATGATTAACCACATGGCAAATACCCTAATAACTATAATAATCAGAGATAAAATCTGACTTTTCCGTTCACTTTAAACTGGTTTTTATACAAGTAAATTCATGCTTAAATTATAAAATAGTTGACATAATGGATAAATAATATGTATGTATATGTATGTAGTACATATGGAACCCACAAAAGTATGCTACAATATTTTTTTTATTTCCTCTAAAATCGTTTTCCTTTTATTTATTTTATTTTCTTCTTTTTTGACATATTAGGCTGAGATTAGCTACTAATTTAAGTAAAAACAAAATATTTTTTGTTTTTTATTGATCAAAATAACTTGAGAAAATTATAAGATGGACAACCGTCTTAATACCCTGAACAGATCAATAATGGGATATCAGATGGTTTTCTTGAGATGTATGTAGAAGGAGGCGTGGCAGGCCCCATAAAATGAGTCGCTTAACCCAGATACAGCAGTGAGTTCCTCACAAACTAATCAACTCCCGTTGATCCATGTAGCGCTTTCATTAGTATAACCCAAATTTGATCGTTGTGAGAGCCCCAATGAGATATTGGTTGGAACAACCATAGCCATGCGGATGATGCGTCTGCTGTTTAAACAAGCTCTCGGCATGCAATACAGATTTTTAATTATGTTGGGCCTGTTCTGCTCGCCGGGCTATGCATATGTGCGTGTTTCAAAAGTCAGCCTTCCGTTGGGAGCGATTCTAGTGGCATTCGGAATTCGGGCTCCAAGTGACCCATGCGCGCCGAGTCGTGTATGCATTAACGGTGGATGCACCTGCATTTTGAGCCAACACCCGAAGCAATGCAGGTATGTCTGCAGTCATGCGGAGCATGTCGATGTCAGCTGCGTAGGTTCAGCTACGGGCATTCCACTCACAGGTCGCAGCTCCCCCATCGAACCGAGGTATTGACATACCGACCGTGGACACCTTGCACAGTGTTGGCTCACGAGCAGGGCCCCGGGAAGTTTCAGCTCTAATTGGTATGGCTGAAGATAGTGTCTGTCCCCAATAATATTATCTTTCCCAAGCCCATAAAAGTATGCTATATTATTTTTCATTTGTCTGAAACCTCGTTAAGTTGCCTTAAAAATTTCTATATTTTAAGTTGAAGATTTTAGAAAAATCAAATTACAGTCGAGTCTCGATAAGTCGTACCTCGCAAAGCCGAAAATCGCGATAAATCGAAAAAAAAATTCCATCCCCTTGAAAGAAATTCGTTCTCAATAATTCTCGTTAATTTGAATTTCTGTGTCATTTCGAATTATCGGAACTCTACTGTATATTCCTTGAGTATTTTCAGCATTTAACAATTCTGAATGCATATATTTCGATAATAGAGCTTCCACACTTAATTTTCCGGCTGTCCTTTTCCTGTCCAGTTCGCCCTTTTCTTTTCGAGATGCAAATGGATTTTAATAAATGATTTTCAAGGCAAATTGCAGTCAAACGAATTGGAACAGCAAAAAATTTCGGCATTGCATAATTTAAAATTAGAATGGAGAACTAGCAGCTGCAACACCTTTGTCCTTCTGAACCAGGTGAGTGCTCTCACCTTGACAAATTAGCTAACGAAGGTATTGCCTGAAAGGCAGCTAAAATAGAAGAGAGAAACGTAACTGACAAATTTTACTATAAACAATCGATAAGCATTATAAATCACAATCGATAAACGATTAATATACGTGTGCTATCAATCATAAGCGCATCAACCGATAAACGGTAATGCGATATGTATGGTAAACTAACTGGAACTAGTCGATAACAAATTACGATAAATGGATATCTATGTTAAATTGACAAGAATTAATCGATAACTAATCCCTTATCTCTGAGTACTTTACGACAGTTTCTTTCTTTTTATCGATATGAATTTAACTTGTTCTTCTAAGCTATAATAAACAATCGATAAACGATAATGCGTTGTCAATTACAAATTTACCGAGACCTATAATCGATAACTCTTATTTGTTTACTGCAACTAGTTATCGATCAATTATGTATGATATTCATATATAGTGACTTATCCATTGAAAGCCGTTCATCGATATATCATTATCATATATCATATGTACTACGATCCAATTAACTCGAATATTTACTCAATTTAAACGAACATTTCAAGAGCACATTTAAGTTGTTAGAGGTACAGTATTCTCTCGCATAGCAAAGCTACCCCCAAACTTAAACGAGCGTTCGCACTCCAGAAACTTGAAATGCCTTTGACATTTAAAGCTGTACAATAAATAAATATTTCTATGCATTTCTATTGCACCTCACACAAGGCAGCCATATATTTATATGTATATGTATGTAGGTATATATGTAATGCAAATATAAAATATGCTGCTGCAAAGCCCATTTGCCCCACATTCGGCATATGTCAACATAATCCATGGCATTATTACTGCCGGCTGCTGGTTTTACGGCAAGTATTGCGGTCAAGTGAATTGAAATTCAAATTGAAATTGAAATGGAAATTGAAATGGAAATGGAAATGGAAATGGGCGCATTGACGGGAACCGTGATAAATGCTATGATGATATATGGCATTAGGTATATGTAAATACATCTATGCAAATGATGCGCAGACATTAACAAGCCAATCAAACTAAATTTTGTAATTAATCGATAACGATAAACGATATGCAAACGTGCACAACTGTACTTCGAATGGAGCATTAGTTTATATTATGCATGAATTGCGCGTATAACGGTATTTGTCAGCTGCTCAATCATCATTGTAGACAAATGTGTGTGCAGAGAGAGAGAGAGAAAGAGAGAGGGATGGGAGGGGGGGGGAGGAGTGTGCACTCCCAAGAGCGTGCTTGAGATTGATCAATGTTTATGTTAAGCCGCAACGCGGCGACACTTGCCAAACGTTTTGACGCCGCATTAGCGACACGCAACATGGCCCAAATGCAGCATGCAACATGCGACATGCAACACGCAGCTGCGTTAAATATTTGCGCATGTTGTGCATGACACAGGTTTCACTGTTGCCACAAATACCCGTTGACTACATTTGCCGCATGCCACATGCCACATGCCGCATGCCGCATGCCGCATGCCGCATGCCGCACTTGCAGCATTTGCAGCACTTGACAATTGCATCGAGCGCCCACAGCTGATGAATGCTACCAATGTGGCTGCTCCTGCTGCTCCTGCTGCTCCTGCTACTCCTGCTCCTGTTGCTGCTCATTTCACTCAAGCCATAAACCAAGTTCGAGCCGTCATAATGTTGCACAATTGCAGATGCCAAGGGACTGGCGGTCGGTGCGGGGCGTGGCTCTGCATCCTGTCGTGCGGTGCGACTCGCATTTCACTTTCCCAACTTGCCAAATGGCAACTGGCAACCAACTAGATAAAGAATTCATGAAATACATCAAGCACCAGTAACACCAACAACAACAACAACCAGTTCAGCATGCCCGACTAGAGTATACCTTACACGACACTTTTCAAGCTGAAACCCCTCTGGCAAAGCTCAGTTAAGACTTTAGTCTGCTTTTCGCTTGCCTGCTCGAGCTTGAGATACCCAGTCTGGAGCTAACAATTTTCCTTAGCCGTGCTGAAATACCTTTGAAATGTCACAAACAGATAAAAGCCTTGAGGCAACTAATAGAACAAGTGAGCTCAACACACATAAGCATACGACTGGCAGATACCCTGTATATTTTGAACTAGCTGCGAGTTACCAAAAGTAGTCTGAACATCAATAGAGAATAATACTTATAAGAGGTGCACACGACTGGCAGATACCTTGTTGTTGAATATGAATCATTTTAAAAAGGCGCACATAGCCTAACAAATATACAGCACTATATGGCTTCCATAGTTATTAATATCTAAGTATTTCTGTCAATCGATATTTATCGATTTTGCTGAAATGCATAAACTAATCTATAATGAAAGTGAATAAAATCCAAATCAAACGTTTTCAGCTCTTACGCTCACACAAATGCCTCAATTTGTTACATTCGATATCATTTATCGATACTTATCGATTTC